CTATACTTATGCTTTCTAATGTTATATAAATAAAAGTTAGGTAAATTAAAGATCAACTTGGAAATTTAAATAAGCTACTTTCTACTTTTCCATTTGCTTTGTACAGGTTCCACAAAAATCAGAATAAGAAATCAGTAATATTGCACCTGTTGATAAAAAAAATTAAAATATAGTGCATCAGAAATCATATATGCTATATATTATCTGTAATGATAAGCCTTTCTGAACAGAGGCGTAAGATTTTTTCATTTGTTTTCTTTTTAATAGAAATCATGAATTAAATAAGTTTATTTTTAACGTCTGACTAAGGGCCTAGCTCTAGACTTTTATTCTGGTTTCTGTTTCTATTTATATAGCTATTTACAAAACTAACAATTTGGAATATTCATTGAAATTTGTTTTTGAGTAGACTTTTAAATTTTACTGTACACATCCAGCCTGGAAATAGGAAATAGGTGCTTTAGCTTTATAAGGGATGTTCGTCCATAATGGGGGAATCACCCCTAGGGGGTCTGGCTTGTTGGCCTGGAGTAAAGGTGGTCAGAGGAATAACTTTAATTGAATCATCACTGGGAAGAAGTCCTTCAGACATGGTGTAAAACTGAGATCTTGCACTACCTTGCCCTCCCTGATCAAAAGAACGTAGCCCATCAGGTCCAGCACCTTGAACCCAATTCTGCTGCAAACCAATTGGTGGCTGTGCAGGGCTGTGATGGAGGGCAGCAATTCGTGGCATAGGAGGGGTGCGGTGGGTTGGAGCAGCCTGTGCCAAAGGAGGGCTGTAGCAGAGGGCTGAGGCTTGTGCTGATGGTGAGCTGTGATGAAGTGCAGTAGCCTGTGATAGAGGAGGACTGTGGTGGAGAGAAGAGGCCTGTGCTGGTGGAGGGCTGTGGCACAGTGTGATAGCCCGGGTCACTGGAGGGCTATGGCAAAGAGCAATGGTTTGTGTCACTGGAGGGCTGTGGTGGTGAGCAGAGGCTTGTATCAGAGGTGGGCTGTGGCGTAGAGAAGAGACCTGTGCTTGTGAAGAGCTGGAATGGGTCAGAGAAGCTGGCATCCAGCAGGCATCAGAGTGGCCTAGGATGAGACATTCTTGAGTGCAGTTGTCAGAAGCCTCTTCCACAGTTGGTTGAATAGTCACTTCTGCAGCTGTTGTGGGGAAATGAATAACAATATTTTGATGTCAAAGATTTATGTTATATACAGTATTATTAGCTATGAAAAACACATTGTATTGTTAAAGGAAAACTTAACATTTTATATATAAACACATCAGAAACTTCTAAATTTTTTACAGTTGGTGCTTGATTTGTCAAGATGTTATTCCTGCAAAAACAAATAACTGGAAGTAAGTGGAGGGAGTTTCAATTTTACACTTAAAATACTCTGCTCTATTCTCCCAATCATAGGCATTTCTGTGTTTGTAGTAATAAATTGAAAGTATGGTCACTTATCAATGCACACAATTCAGTTAAAATATGGTTCTTAACTAACATGGACAGGGGAAAAAATGTAAAATGAATGGGAAAACAAATCTTAGAAACATACAATAACTAATGATTAAAACTACACAAATGCTAGAGACTTCCAATCAGATGGCTGAATAGGCAGACAAGCTACTCAGACCCGCTTCAAAAAAGTAAAGAGAAACTAACTGACACAGATACAGAAGATAAGCCTGGAGCCCTGAGCTTTGAAAGGAAAAATGAAAAAGTGGATTAAACACCAACTAGTAGAAGAATCTGAATGAAAACAGTGATGAAGGAGACAAACGGAGCTGTGGACTGTCAGCTGTCCTGATGGTACAGACAGCCTGAATACTTCCAAGTGGTGTCAGGACCTAAGAATTAAACTAAAAATTAGCCCTGCTCACCAAGGGCTACATGGACTACTGGATGGGTAGCTGATGATTGAAAAGGGAAACAGCAAAGAAGGAGACAAACCGAGCTGTGGAGTTTCATCTATCCAGAGGGAGCAGAGATTTTGAATATTTACAAGTGACAGCTGGGTGAAGCCATTTTGAGTGTTTACACGTGGTGGCCATGTTGTATAAGTAAAGTGACAGCATTCTCCTTCAGATACCACAGACATAAGAATAGGCTCCACTTGCCAAAGACTGCACAAATGAATGGGAAGCTGACAATTGGAAAGGAGACAAGTGGTGAGTACATAAGTGCTGCCAACTAGTGAATAGAGGAGCACAATACCCTGCTTACTGAGATACATCTAAACAAAACAAAGAAAATGAAAGTCTTGGGCAAATCACTTCAACATACAATAACCAATTAAATATAAACACAAAAATGTCACAATGCTTCAGAGACAACAAGCCATCACAGTCCACACAAAGAAGCAAGATAAACCAGGAGAAACAATGGAACAGGAGACAGAGCCAGAACACATCTCTGAGGAGGAAGCAGCATTGGAACTCCCTGAAAAGGAATTAAAAATAATTATATTTGGTACCTTCAATGGATTCAGTGACAGATCAATGCAAACACTGACAAAATTCAGGGAAACACAGAAAAAACCCTAGAACTATTTCAGAAGACAATACAAGAACAAAAGACAAAATAAATGAAAAATTAGAAATGGTACAAAATCTACAGATAGAAATCCAGAAGAGTAATATGAAATTCTCAGAAATAGATAACACATCAAATGGGCAAAGGAGAAGAATTGAATCATTGGAAGACAGAACTAGTGAGATTGAAGACAAATACCTCAATACTTCTTTGGAAAGGGATCAATCAGAAGGAAGATCAAACAAAATGAAGAAAGCCTAAGGTTTATGTGGGATACCATCAAAAGGAATAACCTACATGTAATCGGAATTCCAGAACAGGAAGAGAAAAACAAAACCGCAGAGAAAATTGTCCAAGGTATGTTGGAAGTCCAACGAACCCCAAACAGGAGAGACCTCAAAAGAAAATCACCAAGACATATTATCATTAAACTCACAAAAGCCAAAGACAAAGGAAGAATCCTGAAAATAGCATGGGAAAAACAAAAAGTTACCTACAAAGGGCAATCAATAAGACTAAGCTCTGATTTCTTGGCAGAAACCATGCAGGTGAGAAGGCAGTGGGATGGTATATATAAAACCATGAAAGAAAAAAACTCCAACCAAGAATTATACACCTGGCAAAATTGTCCCTCAAATATGATGGTGAGATTTAGGACATTTCCAGATAAGCAGAAGTTAAAGGAATTTGTTAAAACCAGGCTAACCTTACAAGAGATGCTAAAGGGAGTCCTTTGGACAGGGAACCAACAACAACAACAAACAACAACCAACTGTTAACACATATAATGATATAACCCAGAAATCAGCCTAGTTTTGGAAGTATCTAAAATAAATAAGCCTACAAGATTGTGAACAGGAAATCAGAGACATCAATTGGAAAAAGAGGACAATTTAAAACCGAAAAGAGGGAAATATAGTGTAGTTACAGAATTTCTAACTGGTGAGGATGTCAAGAGAATTGCAAGATAAAATGGACTATTCTAAATTTGGGAAGAAAATTATAAATCACAGGGTAACCTCAAAGAAAAATGTTAAATCTTCACATCAAATTTTTAAAAAAAAGGACAAACACAAATATTTAGCAAATACTAAAACAAGAGCAACAAAGGAAGTGATAACACAATTCATAAACATCACAAGCTCAGCAAAGAACATTATATGGAACAAAGAAATGAGGAACACCATGAAAATTCACATAACAAAATGACAGCAACAAATTCATACTTGCCAATAATTACACTGAATGTCAAGAGACAGAGAGTTGCAGACTGGAAACAATGATAAGCTGTCTATAATAGACACTCCTGAGAGATAAAGACTAAAAATCAAAGGCAACCATAAAAGAGTGGGAGTAGCTATATTAATTTCTGATGAAATTGACTTTAAGACAAAAACCACCATAAGAGACAAGGAAGGACATTATATAATGATTAAAGAATCAGTCAAACAAGAAAACATAACCATAATAAATATCTATGAACTCAATGAAAGCCCCTAAATACATAAATCTGTCTTTAAAGAATTGGCAATATAATTTCTGATAAAATTGACTTCATGACAAAACCACCGTAAGAGACAAGGAAGGACATTATATAATGATTAAAGAATCAGTCAAACAAGAAAACATAACCATAATAAATATCTATGGACCCAATGAAAGAGCCCCAAAATATATGAATCAGACTTTAACAGAATTGAAAAGACAAATAGATGACTTCACAGTCATAATTGGAGACTTTAATACACCACTTTCAATGAAAGATACAACTGGAAAAAGACTCAAAAATGACACAGTAGAAATTATACAAATCACCAACTTGACCTTATAGACAACTACAGAGCACTTCACCCAACAACAGCACAATATACGTTCTTTTCCAGTATACATGGAACATTTTCCAGGATAGACCATATGTTAGGCGATAAAGCAAGCACTGATAAAATTTAAAACATTGAAATACTGCAAAGCATCTTCTCAGATCATAATGCTATAAAATTAAAAATCAACAATAGAAAGATGAATGGCAAAAGAGCAAACACATGGAAACTGAATAACATTCTCCTTGAAAATTACTGGGTAATTGAAGAAATAAAAATGAAATTAAAAAATTCCTTGAATCAAATGAGAATTAAAACACAATATACCAAAATCTTTGGGACACAGCAAAAGGAGTGATCAGAGGCCAATTTATAGC